AGCGGAAAAAAAAACAAAATATGCTCCGAAACTTGGGGTGGATTCCGTCAGAGCCAAATACGCCGGACAAGTTCAGTCAAATTGACCACGTGTTTTGCCATAGCACGGTATTGCCATGGGCCATGGGTGCAAGATTGCAGGACCGACCGGACGATAGCATTGAAAAGCCACCACTTCCAGACCAAGGTGATGGTGAATTATGCTGTCAGGAAACAATATGACACACAAACGCTATGTCAAATAGATGCGTCTTCTGTCCGGGACCAGGCAATTGAAGTTTCATGTGCGAGATGTTTCCACGACGCTTGGGAGGCGAACCGCTCGACGGAAGGCTCACAAAACGACATGGCTAGCAACATCGAACGCGCTTTTGCCCCAGCGTCTACCACGTTACGGACAAGACCTGCCGAAACCCAGAAAAATGGATTTCGGTCTCGTTGGATTTGATAAAACAGCCAGACGCATGCCGCCGCAACGCAGATTATCAAGCAGAGCGCCTACTACACAAGCGCATCCGGAAAGCAGCCCGACAAGATTGCACAATATGGCTTCATGCGACGTTGGCTGGAAGAAACTGGGACGCCGTAAAACAGCTCAAGACGAAACCGCACATCAGACACGCAAGAATACGTGACCTGAACAACAATATGACGGACACCGCCGGCAGACCAAACGCTTTGGCAGACTACTTTTTTGCGCTGGGGGAACTACAGCATGCGTTGCGGAAAACGAAGAAAAGGAAAGCTGCAGGCCCAGATGATGTCCCGCCAAGCTTTTGAAGGTCGTTTCGGAAGATGCTCATGCGCGTGGGGCTCTATTGGGAATCTGCCAAACTTGCTGAGCGACAAAAAAACATCCCCGACATGTGGAGGCTGACCCTGAGGCCGGCACGCGCCGGGGCGCGCCCTGCGCGGGCTACCGGTTGCCAAGTTCTTAACTGTAAATGATGGTGTCGTCTGTCCAGCGTTTCTGCGGTCGGCCTGGCGCACTGCGCCCGGCCGGGGTCCACACCAGCGCTGCCTCCGACCACCTGCCATCGGTGCTGCCGACGGTTTTCTGCAGCAGGGCATCTGTATACGGAGCTTCTGCAATTCGACCCAAGTCTTGAAACCCGCCTTCTCGAACTCACCCACTGATTTCCGGGTCGCGCGGCCAATCCTCTCCACGCACGGCTCGTCCACACGGCTCGTCCACACTGGCCCGCCCACATGACTTTCCGGAGCATCTTCCGCAATTCTGTCTGAAGCTTAGTTCCCCTTGCCGCCGTCATGGTCCACGTGCCGCTCCCGTAGAGGACAATCGAAGATAACACAACGTCGAACAGGCGAAGCCGGGACCGCAAAATATACAGCTTATTACAAAACTGCTATGAATTTGCCGAAAGCCCCCCATTACTTCGCAATGCAGCTTTGTATTTCGACGTCATGAAATCCTTGGAAGCAAAGTTTGCGCCCGAGGTAGTAGACGCTTCCGTCCACTGGCAGCACTTCAACTCTGCCAGCTCAAACTTGCAAGTGCGATTGCGCAAGGACCCCTCTCTGGTCAACAACGTCAGAAAGGAGTTTTGTCTTCCCCATGCGTAACTTCAGCCCCGCTTCTCCAGCACGCGCCGTTAGGTCTTTCAACATGTCCCGCACATGCGCATGAGTTGTTCCAGTGAGCAAAATGTCATCCGCAAACCCGACATGTGGAGGAGAGCGAAAATTGTTATTTTGCTTAAGAAGGGAGACCACACGCTCCCTAGCAACTACCGCCCAATATCTTTGTTGACAGTTGGTTGCAAGATTTTGGCATCGATGCTACACCAAAGTCTTCTGCGAGCAGGTGCTGAAGAACGCATAAAACCAACCATCGCAATTTTGTTTCCAGCCCCGGCGAGGCACGGCCGACGCCCTCATGCTGATCATACGAATCATCGCGCAGCCAACGTGGACGACACCAGGGGCCTCACGATATTCTTGCTTGATTGGGCGAAGGCGTTCGACAAGTTAACGCCAGAATGCTTGTGTTCAGCGTTGCTCCGCTTTGGAATTCCTTCTCCGATGGTGGACATGATCAAAGGCATGTACGCGGAGCGCTTCTTCACCACAGTAGACCATTGCGGCTGCTCTACTGAAAGACGACAGGCTGCTGGTATAGCCTCCTTTATCTCCATATACACTGTTTCTTTCAAGGGATGGGGACAGCTGTCGAGCTCTACTTGATGCTATCGGTTTGGAACGACGCAAATATGGTCTGGAGCTTAACTGGGACAAAACTGTGCAAATGACAGTGTCGTCAGACAGCGTGGTGACGAGGCCGACCGCGGAGCCCATTGAAAGAGTTGCAGAAGCAGCATACTTGGGAGGCTTGATCACACACGATGGGCGAGAGGGCAATGAATTGAACCGGCGACTTGGCGAAGGGAAAAAGGTATTCCATCAGTTATGCAAGATTTGGAAGCACGCTGCAATCGGTAAGACAAGGTCCTCTACTCCTTGGACTCCTGGTGGCTGCTGAAGAATGATAGATAATGGCTGGACGCTTTTCATTGCAGTTGCGTGCGAAATATATTGGGCGCTCCTGATTATTATTTTTCGATAGTTTCGGATGCCACCGTGCTGTCGCGTGCCGGATCAAGACCACTTCCTGCAACACTACATCACATTAGTTGCGTTTTCAGCCCACGCGTGCTTCATAAATGCACAGCTTTCTTGTCTTGTCTTGTCTTGTCTTGGGGCCCGGTAAAGGCCCCCGGATGCCAAAAATTGCGAAAAGCCTCCCGTCGTGATTTTTCCCCATATCCTAAGGATTGGGGTTCTTGTTATTACTCTGACGCCTCCCACTCCTCCTCCTCCTTTTTCCTCCCGCTCGCGCCTCCCTCCTCCCAATGATAATCACCAGATAAGACAAGACAATATAAGATACTACAAGATAAGATAAGATAGCACAATATATGATAAGGTAAGATAAGATATATGACAAGGTAGGATAATCACCAGATAAGACAAGACAATATAAGATACTACAAGATAAGATAAGATAGCACAAGATATGATAAGAAGAGATTTCAAGATAAGATAAGATAAGTTAAGCTCACACTCAAACTCTCTCATGATCACAAAACGCTGCCAGGGGCATCACTCGGGAGCCCCAAGGGGGAGCCACCCTGGCTGATCTCACGAGCCCGTTCGCGCCGATTTTGGTGGGACGTCTCAGCTAGAATTGCCGTTTGGCGCCCCCAACATGTATCTCTTGAGAGCCTCATGGTCACAAAACGCTGCCAGGGGCATCATTTGGGAGCCCCAAGGGGGAGCCACCCTGGCTGATCTCACGAGCCCGTTCGCGCCGATTTTGGTGGGACGTCTCAGCTAGAATTGCCGTTTGGCGCCCCCAACATGTATCTCTTGAGAGCCTCATGGTCGCAAAACGCTGCCAGGGGCATCATTTGGGAGCCCCAAGGGGGAGCCACCCTGGCTGATCTCACGAGCCCGTTCGCGCCGATTTTGGTGGGACGTCTCAGCTAGAATTGCCGTTTGGCGCCCCCAACATGTATCTCTTGAGAGCCTCATGGTCGCAAAACGCTGCCAGGGGCATCATTTGGGAGCCCCAAGG